CATGTATATATAATCTCATTTGACTAATTAATCTTAATTTATTGGGTTCTTAAAATTAATATAATACTAATATTTAGTGAGAATATATCAAACTTTTACTATCTATACCCGCTCACTCACATATATATATATATATATATGCGTGTGTATAATCTCATTCAACAAATTAGTCTTAATTCGTTGGTTCTTAGAATTAACGTAATAATAATATTTAGTGAGACTATAATAACTGAACCATCTTAAATTAAATATTCCGTCATAAATACTTATTTTTATATTTTATTTGGTTAAAATTTATTTTATCTATATTTACTTTTAGGTTATAGTTTATTTAATATATAAAAATTTATTTTTATATTTAAATTTACAATGATAGATTTAAATTTAAACTAACATTTTTACTTGAACATATAATTCATTTGTGTTTCCCATTTTTTTAAAATTAGATTATTATGTGAGTCTTTTAAAAATATTATAATGTTTTAAGAAGTTAAAAAAGTACTCTCAAATCATGACTGATTTTAAATAAATTTAAAAGGCGTTAAAATATAATATAATATATATTAGAAATTTTCTTATTATTTATAAGTTGAAAACAACTCCTGCAAAAAATGGACCTTTCAACAGAAAATGGAGTCTGGCCTACCCCCTTTTCTAAAACTGCGTCGTTTCTGCATTTTTATGGGGAGTGAGATGCACGCACTTTCGAAGGACGTGAAGGAACCTTTTCTTCTTATTTGTATTTTTTATTTTTATTATTATTTATTTTCCTAATTATACGTGGCTAATTCTCCTTTACTACTTTATAAATAAATCTTGCCTCACATTTTTCCAAAATAAATAAATAAATAAAAATGTTTTATTGTATTTTTTAATTTTTCTTTTTAAAGTGTTTGAAAATAATTAGGTGTACGGATTAACTGTCAGTGTATCAACTTTCTGCTTCACGTAAAAGTTGGTTATTTCCATGCAGATTTTTAAACGAGCAGTAATTCAATGCTATTTAATTTTTAAGGTATTTTTTTTAATCATTTTCCGGTTGTTAAAAATAATAATTATTATTTTTATTTTAATCATTTAATTGAATAATATTTTTAAATAAAAAAATTTAAAGCTGACAATTAAAAACTAAGAATACTTTTATAATTTTTTTTAAAATAAAAATACCCTCAAATGTATCATATGCTAAAAAAAGATTTAATCTAATGATTTTCAGAAAGAAAATGTAATATACATAATTGAGTAGAAAAGAAAAGAAAAAATAAAAAGAAATTATATACATAATTAATTATAAAGGAAAAAAAAAAAGAAAAGAAAACAAGGTTGTGGGAGACTTAAAGCGTCAAATATATAGATGTATATGTATATATATGTAAGAGAATAGCATAAAAAAAAGGGATAAAGAAGAAAAAATAGATAGAGAAGAGAGAGGGCCAAACGACATCGGGCCGAGAGAATGTAGTGAGGGAAGGAGCCTAAGCCGCCTGAGGAGGAGGAATGAGCGGCAGTCGCGAAGGTGGGATGCGGTGAAAGGGGAGACGTAGCGGGAAGAAGAGGAAGAAGAAAAGAAAAAGAAAGAAGAAGAAGAAGAAGAGAAGAAGAAAGGAAAAAAAAAGGGGAAGAGAAGAAGAAGGAGAAGAATCATGGTGGGGTAGAGAGAGAAAGAGGAGAGAGAGAGAGAGAGAGAGAGAAGAAAAAGGAAGAAGAAGAAGAAAGGAAAAAGAAGGACGAAAGAAAAAAAGAAGAAGAAGAGGAGTTGCGGGAAAGGAGGAAGAAGAGAAGAAAAAAAAAGAAGATGCTACGGAAAAAGAGGAAGAAGAAGGAAGGAAAAAGGAAGAAGAAAAGAAAAAAAAAAGAAAGAAAGAAAAAAGGAGAAAAAAACAATTAATTAAGAAAGAAAAATGAAAAGGTGGCGTATAAAAATGATGTTAGTGCGACGTATGTGACAACGCACGCTGATTTAATCATTAGCGCTTAGTATTTTCGGCGACACGTATGTAATAGTGCATGATGACGTTGACGATTAGAACCGCGTGTTCTAAGGTAAAATTTATTACTCATTTCGTGTAATATAGTTTTTAAAATTATTAATAATTTAATATATATGTTTTCTATTATAAACAAAAAAAAAAACTATTCAAGTAATATTCGAATTTTTAAAAAAATCGTAAATCGAGGTAAAAAGAATCTCTAAAACTTTCATGATCACACCATAGATAAAAATCATGTGTATTCTGTACGAAGACATAAATTATATATTTATGTAAATGTGTATATATATAGTTCATTATATGTAAATGTTTAAA